TATGTATGTATGTATGTATGTATGTATGTATGTATGTATGTATGTATGTATGTAAATGTAACCTCAGCGAGTTAGAAAAGATTTTGATGTTGTTAGAAAGAAAAGAATGCGGAAAAAGGTGGTCAAAAGTTAGAAACGAGTTACTGCACGAGATGGGCGGGGCTAGGGTAAAAATCTTATTACTCTATCCAAAAACGTTTTACAGCGCGATAAAAGTGATTGGAGGTTATAGAAGATATGTGGTCAAACCTCTAAAGTGTGCGGGGTTTGCGCCACATTGGGTGGTGCTAAAATCGGTCATTCAAGTATGTTCTAAATTATTTCATAATGTCGAAAAAAGTGGTTAGAGTTTACAGAACAAGTCCTTAAATGATATTAACGACAATCCTTACTATATATTTTATATACAAGCGTGTGGTAGGATTTACGCTGTGGGGATGTTGGTTGATATAGCAATTTTCTACAACTAACTGTTGTGCAATTGATCGATCAGTGGCCACTATGTTCTCTTAAGCGGTGCAATGTTCCAACTCCGAAAGAGTTGAAGAGATTTTGAGGGAATATAGCTGTAAATGCAGCGATAAGTAATGGCAACCGATATTGACCAGTTCCGATTTGCACTACCCCATATGAAGCAGCTACTCACTACTCCTTTTTTTGAGAAAAAAGAGGAGTTATGATAGGCCTATGTGTGAGACGGTGTGTGTGTCGGTCTACCTTTGACTGGAAACTCATGACACCTATTTCCCTAGACCTAGAGTGTTAAATTTCGGTGAGACGGTAGCAGCACAGGCGGCACGATGAAAACACTTTTAAAATTGTCGGGTTGAACCTAGATCGTATAGATTCGATAGCTGTACAGGCGGCAGTGCAAGAATGGTGATGGCAGGTGACGCGACTGGAGATTAAAGGAGAGGCCAATGGACCACAAATGCGTTGAGCAGGTTTCCGTTCATGACTGGCAAGGCGTTCACGAGGTGTATGATTCACTATCGAAGAGTGTGTGTTTGACCGTAAGCTTATAATTCCTGATCTCCTGAACCGGAGCCTGCAAATTTAGGAGGGACGTGAGCGGGCCGACTTTACACGGAAAGAAGGGAAGCCCAGCGTCAGTCGGGCGATTCAACTGGTGGGAATAAAAAACGAAATGGAATACATCTACATCTCACATTCGCACACTTGACGGCATTGTGAGCTTTCGGCTCTACTAATGCCCTATTTTTGGATATTCCATATTCCGAAGTCTATTTTTTCTGACAAACGCACGTGGTATTCTTATCACTCATCTGACAGAGGAGAGACAGGCGTCAGCCGAACAATCCAACTGGTTTTTATCATTTCTCCAACTCACAAGTGTCTTTTTTGCGAACAGATATAAACAGTTAATAGACGCGTTGAATACGATACGATTATATTTGCTGAATACGACAATCATAGGGATATCACAAACTGTCGATAGGGGACTAGTACTTTATTGAAGTATTTACACTTATTACTCAAGAAAATTCTGAATAGGTCAAGTCAACATTGGGATGAGTGAGACAGAGAAAAAAACCATAGGGCACACGTGATCTCAGTGAAGCTTCATCAAAGCGAGGCGGGACATGCTCAGCAATGGGCGGTGACAAGAACAAAATATCATAATTTGGCTCCATTAGAGCCCAGACAAGTGGAACAGCAGGTAAAGCTGCGGAATGGGCCAGCAAATGAAACGGTTCAGGCCCAGCGAGAAATAACTTTGGAAGTGTGGTATGCCAAAAATGGGCCATGCATGCCTTAACCAAGCGAAACCCCTACGATCTAAATGTTTTCCATCCAACTAAAGATGCTTTTTACGAAAACTGGCAACACTGGTAAACATGCTATCACCTCGATTGACGGGATTCAGATCAAAAATTCATAACCCTGTTCAGAAATGTTTTGAAATCCATCAGAAGGGCCAGGTGATCAAAAAAGAGTAGTTGCGGGGAGGCACTGCTGAGCGCAACTAAGGTCGAAATTTCGAATACCGTTCAGGAACGTCTGTGACTTCGGAAAAAGGGCTCACAAGTTTTTGCGTTGGGTCTTCCTGAAACCTCGGCAAATACGCCATGTTTTACACCTTTTTAAATGACAGGTTTGTTTCAGAAGAACCGTTTTCCTCGGTCAACGTCAAGGATCTGCAA